GTTCAAATAATGAGACAATGAATAACGTTTTCGCAAACTTATAAGACCGTAAGAGGGAGCATTTGAGAAATAAAAATAAAGCATTTCTTTGAACCATAAAGGACTTTTAAATCGTACGCGTTTTCAACAATCACTGATGAAGAAGTGGTGTTTTGTTCTCCGACCTGACGAAGTTTGTTGCAGAATTTTCTCGTTGGTGGTTGCAAATACAGCCCCGTGTAGGCTCCTGGGTTTTCCACCATCATGGTCGTATCATGGTGCACCCCTTGAAAGATGTGAAAAAAATGATTGTTTATTTAAAGTGTTAAAAATATGTTTGTTGTAAGTTAATATCCGAACGTTTGTAAAATAGATTCGGAACTAAATTGAAATTGAAACACTTTTATAAAAATTTTTTTCTTTTGGAAAAAAGCCCTTTGAACAGACCTCTCTGTAAATGCAAAAGCCCCCCAAGAAAAGGCAGAATTTTACACTTTGAAAGCTTTGAAATTAATAGCCTTAAAGCCTATGCATTTTAAAATTTGTCAATGGTTTTGAACTGTGTTTTAACAAAAAGGAATATTACCGTTGCATCAACGATGAAAGTCGCAAACGAGGTAAACAACAGCTTTTATCTTACAACCAAAGTCATCATCTTGAAAAGAAAAAAAGGCATCCCAACACAGCAAAAAGAACAGTTATTTTATACGTACATGTGTTAACTGTTTTAATATGAAGTTTTTTTTCAACATTTGCAAGTTACAGGCTTTGTAAAACATAAAATACATAAAAGTCAACCACATAAAACGTAGGCTCAGAGCTTCAGAAAATCCAAACTCTATACAAAAAATAAAAACAATTTTTTCGAGTTTTGAACTTTCTTATATAACATTATAAAAATTTTCTTTTGATCAACCAAAAAAGTTTTTTAAATTTGAAATTTTCCCCAAGCCTTTTTAAAAACGTTTTAAAAATCCCTTTGGGTTTAAAAAAAACCTTTTAAAAAAAAATATAAAATCAAAAAAAAAACCTTTCTGAAAAATTTTTTGTCAAGGGCCAAGTGTTAGCCGGGGGGGGTAAAAAGAAAAAGGGAAATTTGTTAACCCCTGGATTTTGGGGGTTTTACGCCCCGGGAAAAAGGGGGGAAATTCATCCGGGGCGGGGTTTTTTTTTCTTTTCAATTGCCCCCAAAAACCAAAAAAATTGGGGAAAAAGCCGGTCCGGGGGCAAATTAAATTTTTTAGGGTTTTTAAAAATTTTGGGGGTTTTGAAAAAAAAGACATATTACTCCCTTTTTTATGCCCGGAATTTTTTGGGTTTCACTTAAAGACCCAAATTTTTCCCCACAATTTTTAAACAGGCTGAAAAACATGTTTATTACAATGGAAAAATTTTAAAATTCAGGGCCGGGGAAATTGGGCAATTCCCTTCCCGATCTTTAAAAGTAGAAATCTACTTCCCGGGGAAACGAGAAAAATTGGGTTTAAAAAACAAATGTTTCCCCCGCTTCTTTGGGAGGTTTAAATTTTAAAAATCAAACAGGGTTTTTTGATAGAAAAATTCCCCAAACAAGGGGCCGTCACAGGGAAAAAAGCGAAGGGTACTTAAAATTTAAAATTTTTTGGAAAGCGTTGGGGAAAAAAACAAAAATAAAAGGGAAAAAAAAATCAATTTTAAAAGATATTAAATTTTCTTTTCCCCAAAAGTTTTTTAACCCTTTTCAATGAAAAACTGGGTTTAAAGATAAGGAAAAAATTGGGTTAAATTTTGGGGGAATTTTTGAGGTAAAAAAAAATAAAAAACCTTTAAACCCCAAAAGAATGTTATAGAAACAAATAAAATTTTTTTAAGTAAAAGATGTAAAGTAAATGGGGAGATAAATCTTGCAATATTGGTGCTAGCGTTATGAACCTTGTATCAGAAGATGTGGTTTATAATAAGGTACATATATTTGAAGTATTAAGTTGATCCTTTAAGAGAAATAAGGATGTACAGTAAAAACATAATATTTTTTAAGGAAAATTCTAAGTTCAAAGGGAGATAAATATGAAAATATTGGTGCTAGAATTATGAACATTGTCACATAAGATGTGATTGATGATAAGGAACATATATTTGAAGTATAAAGTTGATCCCTTAAGAAATAAAGAAGTAACAGTAAAACTAATATTTTAAGGAAAAATTCCAAGTTCAAGGGGAGATTAATCTAAAACTATTGGTATTATAGTTATGAACCTTGTCACATAAGATGTAGTTGATGATAAGGAACAGATATTTGAAGTTTGAAGTTGATACCTTAAGAAATGAAAAAGTTTTAGTGAAAAATATTTTACTGCACCAAATTTAAAACTTCTGAATTCTTGACGCGGACGCCGACGCCGGTGCGAGTAGGACAGCTCTTCATACACTTCGTATAGTCGAGCTAAAATTTTAAACACAGTTACGTCATGTATATTACTTGAAAGAGTCATGCCGTTTTTGTTTGTGAAACATTTAAGAAGATGGCATATCATTGCTATTTGATGAAGTTGAAAAATATTCAACGTACCAATATAAAGTTATCAAATATCTGTCAATATATATATGACCTTGAACCAAGTGACCCAAAACTCCACTCAAACTTAAAGGACCAACTCGTTTATTTACTGAGATATGTTTCATCTTAATATGAGACAAAAGGAACAAAGGCTGTATAACAAAAAGTGTAACGAATCTATTGTTAGCACAGGTGATCTTAACCATTTGAAAAATAAAATCAATACGCACATGTTGTAAATGTATAGGAAAATGTTTAAAAGCCTATGTTTGGCACCACTGACTTTGACCCCTTACTCAATTCAAAGAAAAAAAAAACACCATGCAAGTTATCTTTCTACAAAATATAAAATACATCTATCAATAAATAAAGTATGTATCAGCAAAGGTGCAAAAATCTAGTTTTAGCACAGGTGACCTTGAATCTACTGACCCCTAAAGGAAAAAGACCACACCAATTATCATCCTACCAAATATGAAAAACATCAGTCAATACATAAACGCTGTATCAGCAAATGTGTAGAAATCTTTTATTGGCATCATTGACCTTGACCGACTGACCCTAAAAGCAATTCAAAAAAAAAAAAAAAACACCATGCAAGTTATCTTCCTACAAGATATAAAAGACATCTATCGATAAATAAAGACTGTATCAGCAAAAGTGCAAAAATCTAGTTTTAGCACAGGTGACCTTGACCCCACTGACCCCTAAATCAATCCAAAGTAAGAAGACCACACAAGTTATCATAAAAGGTTGAATTGATCTATTTTTAGCAGTAGTGACATTGACCTAACTGACTCCTTATTCCACCTAAAGGTGGACAACTTCTCAATTTATGTTCCTTCCAAATTTCAAATTTTAAAGACATCTGTCAATAGAAAAAACGTTTCACCTGTAAAATTTAAAATTGTAAAATTCTATTTTTGGTATTGACGACCTTGACCAAATGGCCCCTAACTAAACCAGAAGGAAGAGGACATTCCTTGGCACGTCCGTATTCAACATGAAATACATCAATTGAAAATGATAAAGGTTGAATGAGCAAAATGTACACATTTATCATTTTACACCAGTGATACTGACATTGACCCCAGTGACACCTTACTCCACAAAAAGAAGGACATTGAAGGTATACATCTACCAACCATTGAATATATCATTAAATAAATGAATGAAGTAATTATGAGAAACTTAAGATAAATCCAACTTGCACGAATAGGTTAACAAGAAAAGGCTATTTATAAAAACGGAAAAAACAAGGAAATATGTTAACTTCATACGGACAGACGGATGGACGGTTCAATAACTATATGCCCAGGGACATAAATACAAACAGACGTCTACTTTAGATCGGGAAAAAATGTAGACGTCTTCTTGGTCTATACAGAATTTGTTTTAGTTGTACAGGAAGCTTTTAGCTTATAAACACACTCTCGAAGACGTTCCTGGAACAAACCCAGGATTGAGCAGTACTGAGCAATGAGTGTTAAGTTTCTTGCTCAATGAAACAATGTCTCGTCCTTGACAGATTCGAACCCACGCAGGTCATGATAAAGACTGGACATCTTCAGATCGGGATAAAATTTAAACGTCTACTTTATATCGGTATAAAATGCAGATGCCTTAATTAGATCGGAAAAAGTATAGACATCTACTTTACATCGAAAAAAAAGCTGGATATATACCCCAAATCGGGTTAAAATCTGGAAGTCTACTTCTTTATTTGATAAACTCAAATCGTCTACTTAAAATCATGATAAGGACGCCTACTTCAAATTGGGATAAAATGTGATCGTGTTCGGATCGAATAAAATTAGGACGTCTTCTTTAGATCGGGATAACATGTATATATGTACTTCAGTTCGGGATAATATGTGGTCATCTTCTTCAGATCGGGCCGAATGGTTACGATCAGTGACTTCGAACTGCTTGTCCCTCACCCTGTGTGTTCGAATCACGACTCGGACTTTGGATTATTTCATGTGAGAAAGCTATCAAGCTAGTTTCGGTGGCTCTACTCAGGTGCCCGTTCGTGCCTGAAATTATGCACATGAGGTCTTCAGAGCTACCATTAAAGCTGGAAAGTCGCCATATGACATATACTGCCTTGGCGAGACGTAATACCCCCGCCCCCTCCAAAAACTAAAAAATAAAAGATAGACATTAAACATCATATTGACCATACAATTGCATAAAATTTGTTTAATACACCCGTATTAAAAAAATCACATGGCGCAATAGTTAGGGTCGTTAGTTGCGTCAGACATATAGCGGTTTAATTCAGTGTCTGTATATAGTGGTCTTAAATAGGGTCGTATACGTTAAGTCGTCGTTTAATTCGGCGAGTAGCTATTTGCACGTTTAACTGTAAATGAAACTGAACAATAAATCACAAATTTTACTTGATATTTTTATTTGTCAAGAGTTTTGAACGTAAATTATATGATTATATTTTAGATACAACATTGGTAATGTCACATGAAAAGAAAATATTCCGTTGAAAACTACAAACTTAACACACTTATTCAAAGCATATCTTCATGTCAGAATTTAAATTACATATTGAGATTTGACTCTGCATGCACATGCGCAGAACAGTCGTTAGAAGTTTCCGGTAATTCATGTTTTTTTTTGGTGTTTTTTTATAGAATTCTCAGCACCAGCCATGCAAACACTGACCAAATATTTGCTGATCCTGAAATTTGAATAATTATAACATACATTATATTGATTTCACAAGATATCAACTGATTATGTTAGAAAAATGCATGTAGTAAAGAAATAATAGTTACAAGTACATATGCGACATAATTTAGTAAAGTTCACTTCAAACATGTATCACAGTGGACAAACTATATTTGTGTAAGTCGTGTATTTTATCTTGCGATTACATGCACCTCCTACTTCCGACCACTGTGCCTTTCTTTGGGCCTATATATACCTTGTACATTTCTTGCAAAAGACTGGAAGTAAACCCGTTTATCCAATGCAAATCACAGGCGTTCGGCACATTGCCTTGCCAATTATGGTCAAATAATCATAAAATTATCTCCCCTTGATCTTCAAGAAAAATAATTACTATTCAGCACTCGTACCCGTTTACATTATGTACACATTATGTACACATTATGTACACATTATGTACACATTGCGATTTTGTGTAGCTGATTGTGGAGTTGCAGCAATTTTAAAAAAGGACAAATTCATTCGAAAGACATGAAACATTCTTGTGTTCCGTGGTATACTTCTTTTTTCTCCCGACATACAACCTTTTATATTAAGTAGAATGAACATTTACTAGATTTGTGTACGTCGCCTACTTGTTTTTCAGAAGAGAATAACCTGTGTTTGTGCAAAAATGGTACCGTTTAAGAAGATTTTGCAAAGAGGTATGCACCGTGTATAAGGTAAATTACTCGCCGTAGCGTATTTCCCGGCACAGTCACATTTTGCTCTCGCATATTTTAAAATAAGACATATGTTCATATCTATCCGTGCAAACATAGCGCAATATATCTTTCAGTAACTGTTAAATATATTGAGCCATCTATCTTCATTTTATCAAACTTGAAAAAATACCTAAAAATTCCGAGGTCAACAGGTTTCGTGCCCAACGAAACTTCCAAAACTACCAGGAGTAAACATACATTAAGCTGCATTTCAACAAGTGTTTTGTGCCTACGACACTGAGTAAACATACATTGTCTCTACAACATGCAATTCTAACTTGTACATATCGCCACCATTCCGTCACCAGTGAAAACTTTCTGCTGAAACGTTTGAAGAAAAAAGGTGTATTGAAATAAAGTAAAAATGCGCGCACATGGGTCATTTAATATGGGCCAATCGTTATATTATAACTGGAATTAAATGTTTTAACCTGCTTGGAATACCTAGCAACTAAGTGTATGTTTACTCATGGCGGATTTCGGAGGGGAAAAAACAAGACATTCAAAAAAATTCTAAGAAATGAAATGAGTAACAAAATTTACCAAAAGTTATCGCGCTTGAGTTTGTCACTCTGATTTGAGAATTTATAATTCTATAAGAGTTGCCTCCCTTATTGTCGTCTGCTTGATCCCAGTTATCCTGAGTAGAATGCCGACGTCTTCTTTTATTGCTACAATCCTGGCATAACAAAAATGAAAGTAATACATGTAATCTTTTTTTCTCAGTTATGAAAAACCAAGTCTTAAGTCCGCACGACATTAAGTTTATAATATTCTATCAAACAGTAATGTTCACACACATTTATAACATGGCATCGTTTGTTTCCAATATAATAAAACGAAAACATAAGGATGTTTTACTCTTGCCGTTTTCAAATTGAAATTTATGCCGTAATATTAAAGCTTATAATTTGTCTGGAAATAGACCACTTCCGGCGGTTGCATGGCTACTATTGAATTTGTGTAGATTTAATACGAGTTGAAAAGATTCATATTACGCGAGACTGTGGTGTGTCGTGTTTGGTCTTAAATCACAATATTGCTTAAATTTAACGAGTTCAATTAATTTAGTATTGAACCTACACAAATTGTTTTATTTATTACATAAATAAGAACGGTTAACGCTATACATACGGCTATACTTTCACGCTAGTATTAGCGCGTTTTAACGCTAGTGTTGTATATAACGCATTTAAGTCACATCAAAGTGTAATATAGTTATTCTTAAACATATTTATTACAATCCTGCGCCGTGGTTTATGTTATAAATATTGTTAAAATTATATTTCTTTTCTAGATTATATTCGGTATAATAAAAAACAACATCAGATCTGACTGAGTGAAAAAACAAAACGTAAACTCGTGAATGTTCTACTATCACACATAGAGGGATGTTTTATTTACATAATAATTACAGATCATTTATAAAACACATTTTTTTTTCAATTAAAGTTTTTTTTATTAATTGATTAATCGATTAACTGATAGGGTTTTAACAGACACCGACACTGTTTCCAGTGACGATTCCAGGGTTTTTTTATGGTGGAAGAGCGTAGCAGCCCGTCGTGCACATGCAGGCACCTAAGAATAAATACTCAGACATTAATCTATTTGGATAGATACTTCAGATAAAAAAAGGTTTGACGAGTGGATTGAAGATCGCTTAGAATTCCGTAAAAAGTCTACGGGTGTCGTCATTTTAAAAATGGTGCATCAAACAATGATTTTGCTTTCTTTCGATCGAATATGCGACACAACCATACCAGTTAGTTATTCTAATGTTACTGGCGAATAGTTCAAGATACAAATACTCTAAATTGAATCCGTTTCGTTATTGTGCAATGGTTCAAGGTTCGATTATGAAGACTCGCAGGAAGTAATTGTAGACGCAGTATTACTACTTAACCACGCTCTAACACTACATATATCATTCTTTTGGTTTAACCAGATTTTACTTAAGCTCGATAGCAAAACAAATTTTGGCAACTTACATTATTTACTTTCGAGTCCGCATTTTGGAACCAACAAGCACTAGTGTCATATGAAGAAACTTAATCGTGATGGGATAAGAGCTTGAACCCATGATCTCTCAGTTGAAAGGTTGACACCTTAACCACTAGGCCACCGCTATCATCCTTAAGCATGCTGCGGGTTGCTGGTGGCAACTAGATCAGTGCTGACCAAGATCAGCTAACCATGGCCTACACTGACCACTTTTCAGTGGGTCTCTTGTCTTGAAATTTTACACAAAAAAAGATGAACTGTTCAGTACAGATCAAAAGATACACAAGTCAATTTAAGGTATTTAGCGTGGTAAGGTAAAAGCTAAACTATAAGTATGTGAGAAGTTAGCAGTGAACAGTGAGCTAAGCAAAAAGGCATTTCAATTTATATAGGAAAGGTAATGATCTGCTGTAATGCTCAGCTATTTTGGGCATCTAGCAGGGCATTCCTAAATATAGTGTAAAAATGCTCTGCTGCAATACTCAGCTGTCTTGGCAATCTAACAGAGCATTCCTACCTTTAGTGAAAAAATGCTCTGCTTGAACGCTCAGCTGGCTAGGCAATCTAGCAGTGCATTACTAAATATAGTGTTAAAATGCTCTGCTGGAATGCTCAGCTGGTTAGCTAAGCTGGCTAGGCAATCTAGCAGGGCATTACTAAATATAGTGAGAAAATGCTCTGCTCGAATGCTAAGCTGGCTAGGCAATCTAGCAGGGCATTACTAAATAAAGTGTAAAAATGCTCTGCTGGAATGCTAAGCTGGCTAGGTAATCTAGCAGAGCATTACTAAATATAGTGAACAAATGCTTTTCTGGAATGCTAAGCTGGCTGGGCAATCTAGCAGGGCATTACTAAATAAAGTGTAAAAATGCTCTGCTGGAATGCTAAGCTGGCTAGGCAATCTAGCAGAGCATTACTAAATATAGTGAACAAATGCTTTTCTGGAATGCTAAGCTGGCTGGGCAATCTAGCAGGGCATTACTAAATATAGTGTAAAAATGCTCTGCTCGAATGCTAAACTGGCTAGGCAATCTAGCAGGGCATTCCTAAATATAGTGTAAAAATGTTCTGGTGGAATGCTAAGCTGCTAGGCAATCTAGCAGAGCATAACGAAATATAGTGAGAAAAAGCTCTGCTCGAATGCTAAGCTGGCTAGGCAATCTAGCAGGGCATTACTAAATATAGTGTAAAAATGCTCTGCTGGAATGCTAAGCTGGCTAGGCAATCTAGCAGGGCATTACTAAATATAGTGTAAAAATGCTCTGCTGGAATGCTCAGCTGGCTAGGCAATCTAGCAGAGCATTACTAAATATAGTGTTAAAATGCTCTGCAGGAATGCTCAGCTGGCTAGGCACTATAGCAGAGCATTCCTTAATATAGTGTAAAAATGCTCTGCTGGAATGCTAAGCTGGCTAGGCAATCTAGCAGAGCATTACTAGATATAGTGTAAAAATGCTCTGCTGGAATGCTCAGCTGGCAAGGCACTATAGCAGAGCATTCCTTAATATAGTGAAAAAATGCTCTGGTGGAATGCTCAGCTGGCTAGGCAATCTAGCAGGGCATTCTGAAATATAGTTAAAAAATGCTCTGGTGGAATGTTCAGTTGGCAGACTGATTCTGGGTTCGAGGATTTATTGTTTCCAAAGTTTTATTGACATTTTCGACTTCTAGGCAATTCTGAGGCACTCGCAGACTTTCAGGAATTTTCGGTGCCAATAGAAATAATGATATTTTTGACTTCTAAGGACCTTTAAGAGACTATTTCATTGTCCTGCGACTTTTTGAAGGACACTCGCAGACTTTCAGGAATTTTGGTGCCTATGCTGATATTGACAATAAAGACTTCTAGGGACCCTCAAGAGTCCATTTTGGTCGTCTGCGACTGATTCTTGGACACTCACAGACTTTCAGGAATGGTTGGTGCCAATGGAAATAATCATATTTTTGACTTCTAGGGACCTTTAAGAGTCCATTTCATTGGCCTGCAGCGTATTGTTGGACACTTGCAGACTTTCAGGAAAGTTTGGTGCCAATAGAGATGATGGCAATTTTTACTTCTAGGGACCCGCCAGAGTCCATTTTTATGGTCTGCGACTGATTCTGGGACATTCGCAGACTTTCAGGAATCTCTGGTGCCAATGGAGATAATGACATTTTTGACTTCTAGCGACCCACCAGAGTTCATTTCGCTGGTCTGCGACTGATTTTGGGACACTTGCAGACTTTCAGGAATTTTGATGCCAATGGAGATAATGACATTTCTGACTTTTAGGGAACCGCCAGAGTACATTTCTTGGGTCTGCGACTGATTCCTTGAGACTCGCAGACTTTCAGGAAGTTTAGTGCCATTGCAGATCATGACTTTTTTACTTTTAAGGACCCCTTAGTCATAAGCAGAGCATTTTTACCCTAAAATGTCATTATCTGCATTAGCACCAAAAATTCCTGAAAGTCTGCAAGTGCCCAATAATCAGTCGCAGACCAACGAAATAGACTCTGGATGGTCAAAAATGTCATAAATTGTAATTATCTCTATTGGCACCAACAATTCCTGAAAGTCTGTGACTGTCCAAGATTAAGTCGCAGACCAAAAAAAATGGACCCTGGATGGTCCCTAGAAGTAAAAAATGTCATTATCTGCCTTGACATCAAAAATTCCTGAAAGTCTGTGAGTGCCTCAGAATCAGTCGTAGACCAAAAAAAAAAATGGATTCAGAAAGGTCCCAATAAGTCAGAAATATCATTTTCTGCATTGACACCAAAATTCCTGAAAGTCTGCGAGTGACTCAGAATCAGTCGCAGACCAACGAAATAGACTCAGGAGGGTCCTTTTGAAGTAAAAATGTCATTATCTCCATTGGCACCGAAAATTTCTGAAAGTCTGCGAGTGTTCCAGAAACATTCGCAGACCAACGAAATGGACTCTCGATGGTCCTAAAAATTCACAAATGTCATTATCTGCATTAACACCAAAAATTCCTGAAAGTCTGCGATCGTCCCAGAATCAGTCGGAGACCAAAGAAATAGACACTTGAGGGTCCCGTAGAAGTAAAAAATGTCATTATCTGCATTGGCACTAAATATTTCAGAAAGTCTACGAGTGCCAAATAATCAGTTGCAGACCAACGAAATTTATACTTTATTTAAGAATGCCCTGCTAGTTTGCCTAGACAGCTCAGCATTCCGGCAGAACATTTTATAACACTAATTTTCAGAATGCTTTGCTGGATTGCCTAGCCAGCTAAGCATTTTTAACACTATATTTAGGAATGCCCTGCTAGATTGCTTAGCTAGCTGAGCATACCAGCAGAGCATTTTTCGCACTATATTTTGGAACGCTCTGCTAGATGGCTTAGCCAGCTGAGCTTGCCAGCAGAACATTTTACACTATATTTAGGAATGCCCTGCTGGATTGCCTAGCCAGCTGAGCATTTTTAACACTATATTTAGGAATGCCTTTCTAAATTGCCTAGCCAGCTGAGCAATTCAGCAGAGCATTTTTACACTATATTTTGAAATGTCCCGCTAGATTGCTTAGCCAGCTGAGCATAACAGCTAAGCATTTTTACACTATATTTAGGAATGCCCTGCTAGATTACCTAGCCAGCTGAGCATACCAGCAGATCATGTTTACACTATATTTTGGAATGCCCCGCTAGATTGCTTACCAAGCTGCGCATAACAGCAGAGCATTTTTACACTTTATTTTGGAATGTCCCGATAGATTGCTTAGCCTGCTGAGCATAACAGCAGAGCATTTTTACACTATATTTTGGAATGCCCCGCTAGATTGCATAGCCAGCTGAGCATAACAGCAGAGCATTTTTACACTATATTTTGGAATGCCCCGCTAGATTGCTTAGCCAGCTGAGCATAACAGCAGAGCATTTTTACACTATATTTTAGAATGCCCCGCTAGATTGCTTAGCCAGCTGAGCATAACAGCAGAGCTTTTACACTATATTTTGGAATGCCCCGCTAGATTGCTTAGCCAGCTGAGTATAACAGCAGAGTATTTTTTACACTATATTTAGGAATGCCCTGCTAGATTGCCTAGCCAGCTGAGCATACCAGCAGTGCATTTTTACGCTATATTTTGGAACGCCCCGCTAGATTGCCTAGCCAGCTTAGCATACCAGCGGAGCATTTTTACACTATATTTAGTAATGGCCTGCTAGATTGCTTAGCCAGCTGAGCATACCAGCAAAGCATTTCTACACTTTATTTTGGAATGCTCTGCTAGATTGCTTACCCAGCTGAGCATAACAGCAGATCATTGATTTCCCTATATAAATCGTAATGCCTTTTTGCTTAGCTCACTGTTAACTGCTAACTTCTCACATACAAACTGTAATAGGTTATTTTAAGTCATAACTTACGATGTCACAAGCAGATGACGGTCTCGCGCAGATTAGAATTTTACAATTCAAGGTAACGTAGTCAGAACTAATGAACTGGAAAGAGTAGAAAATCGCCATGATCATGCTTTCTTTAGATGAAGATATGTTCATAAAATCCTCCACCAACTCGTCGTTATGAGTACATCTGTAATTCACGTGTTAATATATAAATTCAAAGCTCATCCTTTAGTACAATATTTTTATCATGGAAATTTATTGAAATCTATGAAATTCTTACTGAATATGTCTAATTTGGATAAAAGAATTGATAAACTATAAATGGAAGGCTGCGTTCCCTATTACAGGTCAAGTTAAGTTGGTCCTTTCTTAAAATGACACAATATATTTTTATTATATGTGTAGAGTTAAAAACATAACATATCTACTTTGTATGAATTCAAAACATGTTTATTTAATTTTATAATGAGACTTTTCGTCCATTGTCAATATTTTCTAATTTAAATTTGAGCATAGTATATATTTAATAAAAGTATCCGACGTTTATTTTGTGTTTACAATTATTTCAGAATCCAGCAGAAATAAATACAACCAAGAGTAGGTGTTTTTAAATGCTACGAGTACCAGAATCTTCACATGCATTTTGCAATAAAAATATCATTTCATAATCTCGGATTGGCTGAAAAATGACTTTCTGAACAATAAATTAATGAGAAATTGTCACGCAAATGTCATTTGGCTAGTTTCAAACTTTATGATATGGTAAAGAAATAATAAATACAATCTTTTTACAAGAATGGATTAAAGGCCGATTATGCCCAATAAATGCTTTTATTTTTATGTCTATAACGTGTATAATTTTTGTGTACTTGAATAGGTTAAAAAAGTATCTTATCTCTCAATTACCTGAACTATCTTTTGCTTCTTTGCTTGTTTGTTATTTATACAGTTATAGCGATGGAAGTCAACGTACTACTTTATTTACATTTTGCTACTTTTATGACAAATAATTTCACGTTTGGCACTAGTTTCTTCAGGTAACAAGCATCTAATAAGTTTAAAACCATTATTTAAATGTTAATTAATTTATGCATGCCCTTTTTTTAAAAGAAGTGAACATGCATTCACTTCTGATTCATAATGAGCCTTTAAAACGCGGTTGTTACAAAATACATTATAAACGAAGGCACAGCCACATTTACAACTTACATTGACGTTATTGTTTAAAGAGTTGTATACTTTGATACTGACCCTTCCGTGATAAGAAGTCTTCTTGGTACTTTATCATGGACACCCTTGCCGGCATATGCCCAACATTCCTCAGGTCGCAAGTCGAAACCCGCTGAAATATAGAGAACACATAAAAATCAGCTGCTTTGATTTTGAATAGTAAGACCAGTTATATTACCTGTTTGTCAGGACATTAGTATGTAAATCAAACAACATAGAACTTCTAAATGAAAACGAGGCTTCTAAACATATATACGCTAAACCTTGACTGTTCTATTGCATTTTTATTTACCATCTTCTCGGTTCTTTTTGTGCTCTCGGACCTCGAACACAAAACGTACATTAAGAATATACGGAACGAGTACCGCATTTCGGTCTATCCTAGGCTGAGAAACTAAACATATAATCAAATAGTAATTTAATATGAGAGATACTGACTTAGTCTAATCTTATTCCAATATATCGAGTTAATGTCCATCTAAAGTTAGTAAGTTTATGGAGTACATAATATGTAGAAACCGAAAGTTGACATTAATTCGGCTTTGGTTATAATTGTATATTAGTACGCGTTTTTAAATTGAATATGATTGTAAGTCATATTTTCAATCATAATTTTACCGAATTAGACTTAATTTTTTTTTGATTGTCAAATATATACATTCGTTACACATTATAAACGGATTACACCCTCTGTTTTTATTTACATCTAAAACCACGTGGTATGGAACTAGTTTCAGACTTTCAATTCGTACTAAGACCGAGATTATTATGAATAATCGTTGAAGTAGTTAATATAATTATCTACGTCACATGATACTGACCGAGAGAAGGTCAAGGAGGGTAACTTCTACCGTATGTCAGAATTTGTCAGTGTTTTCAAGAAACACACAGATAAAGTATTAATCTAAAGCTACAGTCTCACTTACATCCCGGCAGAGCTCCGGCACAGTCCCAGTAGACGTCCGGAGTGATCCGGGAACGACCGGGGTACGACCGGGAACAACCGGAGTACATCCGTAACTCTGCCGGCAACGTCCAGGATGATCCGGGAACATCCTGTATTCGACCCCGGATGGAATAAATAAAATATTTAATATCACCGGGGTGGTCCGGGATGATCAGGGATGATCCGGGAAGGTATAGCTTTGCCGGCTTCATCCTTAGCTCTGCCGGGAACGACCGGGGTTATACCGGGGAAGCACCGTAGCTCTGCCGGCACAAACCGGGGATGATCCGGGGTATTATATAGCCGGTAGAGCTACGGTAGAGCCCCGTTATATGCCGGCAGAGCCCCGGTAACTACAGGCAGAACCCCGGAGGATAAAGGTAGAGCTACGGTTGATTCCCAAAGCCCGGATCATTTCAAAAAAGAATAACGACAATTTACGATGATTGCACTTGTTTGTATTAAAACCCTTCCCATTTCCCTTCTATCCAGTATGGCATAAGGATTTTTCAGGAAATCATCATGAATTACTATTCTGGAACAATAGATATTATATTAAATAAAAATTATGTATCAATGTTATCATTTTCGGGCGTTTTCAATCCACCGGGGTTCTACCGGGGCTCTGCCTGGATCGTCCTGGGCTCTGCCGGGACTCTGCCTGGATCGACCGGGGCTCTGCCTGGGTCAACCGGGGCTCTTCCGGCGTCATCCGGGAACAACCGGAGAAGCACCGGCATGAAACCGTAGCTTCACCTGGGCGCTGCCTGGATTATCTGGAGCGCATCCTGGGTTGTTAGTTGGGAACTACCGTAGTGCTGCCGGGGTAAGTGTGACCGCATCAATAATTTCACCCCGGATCGTCCCGGATCATCCCGGTAACTTACCGGATGGTCCTGGGCTCTGCCGGGAGTAAGTGAGACCGCAGCTTAAATTCGCTTTCAGTTCCCGAGCGCTTACATCCAAGAGAAAATCTTACCCATTTTCATTTCAATAATCCAAAACAGAGGTGTTCCGAGATATGCCTCTCGCACCACTGTTTTGTTAATAATGCCAGAATACAGATTCGAGTCAACATTAATGGTGTGATACTCCGAGGTGTTTTTCTCCCCAAGACTGAAATGATAAACAATAAAATTGTCTGAATGCTACATGTTAAAGATCCTGTGTGTTGTAATTAAGGGTGTTACCACACTTAAGTGAAATTTACGTATGTATAATTTTTATAATTATGCTTGTAAAACAATTTTCAAACATCGAAGAATATTTAAAATATGTACTGCACGTACTTTCAACAATTGTGTGTAGTAATCATTAAAATATATGCATTCATTTCTTTTAGAAAAAAATTAAAAAGACTTTACACAAAATAGATTTCTAATTACCTCCCTTATTAACATGAAATGTAAATTTGGTAATATGTTTAAAAATAATGCTTTTTGGACCTTATAATATTGATAAATCTTCATTTGAGCATTATATTTATGATATAAAACCATAAAAAATTGAGTTACAGTATCTTTAAGGTGAAATAAAAATATACTATGCTCATCCTTTTGTAAAATATTTTAATCACAGAGATATATTGCAATCTATGAAATTCTTAATGAATATGTCTTATTTGATAAAAGAATGAATAAACTATGTATGGGAAGCTGCGTTCCCTATTACAGGTCAACTAAATTTGACCTTTTTTAAGCTTTTTAATGACAGTATATATTGTGCCCACCAACACTGTGTAGAATTTTAAACATAACATACATTTGCATCTACTTTGTGTGAAGTCAAAACATGTTTAGTTCACATTTACAAAGAGAGAGTGTAGCAATTATCAATATTTTCTAATATCAAATTTGACCTTCATATATCTTTAAATAACGATGTAAGGAAAGAGAAAACAATTTATATGAGATCGTATATGGTATATAAACCGTATTCTATGAATTTAACAATCCAATATATACTTTCTTGCATAATTTAACAAAGTACATGTTCTCAAAAACATTCGTTAAAGACACATTGTGCTATTGTGCCACAGAAATAGATACATTTTACTTCTTTATAAAGGACAAACATGAATTAAATTATGTTTAAATAATAGTTAAGAGAATGTTAAATGCATGTAAGCAGATGAAAGTAGCGATAATGTTAAATAATTTATCATAAAAGTAACAAAATCGACACAAAGTGGTATTTTGACTTCAATACAAAATACTTATAGTATATACTTATACTATAGCTGAGCACTCTCGTTGCCAAAAAAACAACAGATAAATAAAAGATGGTAATTGGCCAATGAGTAGCTTTCCTTACACTTTAAATATGATAAAGTTTTTGAGAAATAAAAATAAAATCATTTCTGAGGCATAATGGGCCTTTAATTAAATCTCACGAAGACATGATATAATATGAAACGTGCTAAAATATATATTGAACATATATATTATGCATTGTGAACATTTTATAAGATTTGCAAATTGTGTTCTTATATTGTACATGTACCTCACTTCCGCTGCTGCATGAACCACGTGCATTTGTCCAGTCAAAGGAATTTGTTTACAATTAATGATGTAAGTGGCATTTCCGGTCTCCGTACCTCCGATCACGTGATTAAAGTCAGGTTCTAAGTTGCTGAAGAACAGTAGTATATCATCATCCTTGAAAGAAAATGTCCCAAGCTTTAAAATGAACGACATTGCTTTTCTATACATAAATAATGTGTTAAACCAGATGACAGGCGTAAACTTGCCCAAATTGTCCATCCCAGTGGCAAAAGTTGATATGGCAATCAAACATACAAGTTCAGAACGCTTTTAAGTTTGGTCAGGTCATGTATTGCAAATAGGTACCAAAAATTGCCCGACAATCAAAACAGAAAAAATATTAACGTTTTCCGTAAGTAATGACGCATTTCATTTTTATCATTTCGCAGAATGATGATGATGATGACCACACAAAATAAAGTAAAATTCGGTAAAAACAAATCAATTTTAGCAATCAAAATATTTAGCTAAAGACAAACGTTGGTAGAATTGAATGACGGGTTCAAGGTCATTGTACAACAGCTGGTCGACACAAGATAAGAGTTTTAAGATAGCTAAATATGTCTCTAAAATATACATATACAATAGAAAGTTGATCACTTTGGCATTTTTCAATCACAATACTTACATACATGTATATATTTAATCATTTTATGTTACCTATACTTATAACTTAATGGCAGATAGCAAAAAGCAATCCCCCGTCCCAGCAGAACTGTCCGCTTACCATATCACAGTCGTCAATAAAGACATGTGTATTCCCCTCAGTCCATCTTGTCGTGCATAGTGTGACGCTGTTATTGGCAAACACGGACGTAAAGTTACTAGGGTTCTCAACCTTTATCGTCATGTCGGGATAACATTCTGTAAAAATTAATGATACATTGAAATTTTCATCACGAATATGTATCATGATCTCACGTTTTATCAAAAGTAACCAATGAACTGCCAGTGTTTGAACCACGTGATCTCCCAATATACCTCATTATTGGAACCAATGTCATCAACTGAGCCTCGTGCCATGGTATAAGTTGACAAATATAAAGTTCATTTTTGTTTGTACTTAACAATGCATTATAACCTTCTGGACATGTTTTGCTATATCAATTATATTTTTAAAAGTATAAGACCGACGGGAAGGAATTATACTGTGCTTAGTTCAAGGTACTTGAAACAAGAAGAAAAAAACAAACAAACAATGAACTTACGGTACAAAAAAGGTCATATGCTCACACACAAGTATTTTCTGATGTAAGACACATAAAAAAACAACAACATATTCAATCAAAATCAGATTTAATGGTCAAGATGTATAATATCATAGGTTGATCATTTTGAAAAGACTATGTCATCATTTAAATCGCGATAAATTGTGTTTTTCATGTTTCAGTTGAAATAACGAACTGTTTCATTGCTCATTTTTAAATAGTAAACTTATATTTACTTAGTAACAGAAAATTAATTTTTCGACAAGCATATTTAGAAAATGATGACTGTTTCAGACGTATACACACATTTTAATGGATAATTGTGGCTTTTAGCAGAAATGAGTAAATTGCTGTTCTTTTTTTACGAACAAAAATCTACAGATTATAAATATTTTGCGCAAAAACTTTGTTGTTAAGGTGTATGATTTAAATATGTCAATTCTGATCAATTTTAACACTTTTCGCACGGAAAGGTACCATTACCGTGAAATAAGTGCTGATGCGAAATTAGTGATGTTGGGTAAACTATAAGGGGGTGGGGGTGGGGTGCTTTACATCTATATAAAAGTTAGAGATGCCGTGAATAATGACTATATGGTGATGGTGTCGATGATGTTAATGGTGAATATTGGACATATAATATCTTGCACAATGCATTAGGCCTGTGCAGTAACAGTACTAATAATTTGATATTTCAACTGTAGATCAGTTTAAAATTATGCATTATTTTTGTTTGAACATGTACTTATTTTGTAATGGATTTTGAAAAAGCAACCTCTTAAAATCTTATGTTTTCAATATTAATTGGGAGGGTGCAATGCTGGAGATAAAATGTCTTAAGATATTTTATTATTATTATATGTTATTACCCCCCAAAATTGGAGAGCGTAACATATTTACATAGTATATGTAATGTACTGTAATGATAGTAAATTTAGTTCATGCACTGGCCATGGGCAATGACGCTACCAAGTATCCCAAACCATACCCAATTCTTTTAAAGGACAACAGGACTTACGTACGTCTGTCCGTACGTACGTAGATATATAGAATATGTATTTGCATTAAACGGAGTAAAGTTTGGGAAAGAAAGAACAAGATATACATATAATAAACAATGTATTGTCTTACCAGAAATAACATGAAACAAAATTTTGGAATATATTGCTAAGATAGATTGCTGCTCTGTTCGTACATATACTATTATTTGATCCCTGCAAATGGTGACTTGTTTTCACCTCTACTTCCAGATACCAAGTATGCGCGGACCATCATTTAAGAATGTTTGGACTTCTATTTGAGACGAAAGAAATTCACTAATCAGAATAGCACATTTAAGATCAAGCTGAAAGAGTAGTTGAAGAGATAGTTGATGAAATATATATTTACCAAAGACCAGCATGTGACCGCCTCTGATTATCGTAGAAATGAGGACAACCATCGTTATAATGCACCGATCCATTATCTAGTAAAACAAAAGAAGCACTAGTTTATCATTTAGCATAGATTAATTCCATGAGGCATGGATAAAGTATGTTACTTTTTTGGAATTGGCAGTAAATTTTTTTTAACTTTTCCCGAAACCGACAATACAAGGAAATTTACGTAATTTTCTTAAATTTAATAAAATCATATAATAAATTAATGTATCTGATTGATTGCGTTACATAGGCATTAAGAATAAAAGCCATCTGCACCAAATGGAAAATGAAGTAAATGAAATGAGCCGCGTCACGACAAAACCTAACATAATGGGTTTGCGACCAGCATGGATCCAGACCAGCCTGCGCATCCGTGCAGTCTGATCAGGATCCATGCTGTTCGCTTACCAACCCTATAACAAGTAGACAAACTGATACGAACAGCAATGGATTTCTGATCAGACGCGCGGATGCGCAGGCTGGTCTGGATCCATGCTGCAAACGCACTATGTTGGTTTTGTCGTGACGCGGCTCAAATATTAAGTAATAATTTAAATAGAATGAAATATATAAGCAATATAAAGAAATTCAAGTAAAAGCAAATGAAATAACGAAAATGAAAATTTTTGAAAGCATTTTTTCGTCAAATCTCAATTGTGACGTTTCGTTTCAATATTAATAAACGGCCGTTATAAACTATTTTCTTATAATTTATTGATTATGTAAGATTATTTTTTTCTTTTTTATAACAATTAATAAATGACCGCGTCATTGGTTTTGCGGACCAAGCATAGATCCAGACCAGCCTGCGCATCCGCGCGTCTGATCAGGATCCATGCTGTTTTTTTTTCCGGGCTAACCGGGAAACCGTAA